ACTTGGCGCTTGCATCGTTGCCTGTGGCCAGGTGCCGCCTTTCTCGACGATCCATCCACACAACTGCAAGCACGCTTTATCTCGTGCAGGCTGGGTTTAGTTTTATGAAGTGCATGGTGCAAGGGATCTAGCAGTGAATATGATTTTTGAGCTACAGCATCGTGCTGCGTGCGTGCTGAAAGCTTAGATACTAGCTGGAGGCCAGGAGATGCTGGAGAGCTGCGTGGAGGCCAATGCATGCTGCAAGCTGTGGAAGGGACTTGACAGATTTCTTGTTCTCTTGCCAGCGTCCCACGGATGATGCTCCTGCTGCAGCTTCTGCTGCTTATGCTCGAAGCGATGTTGCTAGGACCCCGTGTTTTTTTTCCCTAGGCGTGGCTGCCTAGGCGTGGCTGTAAGGCTCTGCTCAGCCACGCTCTCCTTTCCTTTTGTGTAGAAGGGAGACGGTCGGTCGGTCGGTCGGTCGGTCGGCCGGCGGGTCGTGACGCCGGCGCGTGGAGCGTCCTCCAGATTCTGGGCGTAAGTGGTAACCTTCTTTTCGTTTTCCGGCACGTCCGGCACGTCGTGACGCTGGCGCGTGGAGCGTCCTCGAAATTGTGGCAGTAAGTGGCGACCCTCTCGTTTTTTTGTGGGCGTGTCGTGACGCTGCCACGTGGAGCGCCCTCGAAATTCTGAGCCTAAATGAGGACCTTCTCGGTGTTCTCCACGCGTTGCGTTTGTTTCAAAAGCTTTCTTCATGCTGAATGGTGTCTCATCATGTGTCATCAGGTTGTCTGACAAGTTTAAGCCATGTTTCATGGTTTGTACATTTGTTCGTCATTTTTCGTCATTAATCATCATGTTACATTGTGGTTCATCATTTCTCATCGCGTTTCATGGTTTGTTTCTTGATCCTCATTGAATTTGGTTTTGCTCCTCCGAATCTCCGAAGCGTACCATTTACAGTGTTCAAACGCCCAAATCCTCAATTTTGTCTTTGTTGATCCATTTTCATTTTTGGTTGATTTAGTTTTTAAGTTTTGCTGTTTCTTATTTAACTTGTTTGGTCGTTAGTTACTTAGTTTTTTGACCCCGCACCCTTCCACACCCTCCCACGTCCTTTGCTCTTTTTGACACGACCCCGTATCATGTCTAACATAGTGAATCAACCTCAGCAAGTGTCACATCCCTCAATTTCATCGGTTGCACACAAGGAGAGCTGTCCCCCCGCACCACCTCTGGCTTTTTCGGAATATGAATAAGGTATCGTGTCTAATAGACAACCTCCCCAACAAAAAGTGAATGTCAATTTCTCCAATTTGTTGCAAATGGGGAGGGGCTGCGCCCCCCCCCCCAACCCCCCCGCTTCTTTGAATAGGGGCTCGTAATATACATGATTTTGAAGAAGCTCCTACGAAACGTGTCACGGGTTGGTGACTCTTCATGTCTTATGTTTTTACATTATTTTTCATGGTTTCTCATCAGCTTTCATGATGTTCATAAGTTTCATCAGTAACCCTCACGTTGTATCACTTGTATTGGTTTTGCAACATGCTTGATGATTCTCATCATTTCATCAGCTCCACCAAATGCATGATCTTCGACCAGTTTCATGATTTTCTACCAATAGTCATCATTTTCATCGTATTTATGAGCTTTGTTGATTTCTCACCACATTTCATGATTCTTCATCCGGTTCGGTTATTTTCCATGACTTATCATCGTTTTCACTGTAGTTTTCCATGATTTATCATCGTGTTCCATTATTTATTTTTATTTCTATTTAAGTAGTTTCACCATTGTTCATTCAGTACATATCTTCCCTCATCATTCAAATTATTGTCTCTCATTATTCACCGTTATTCATCATTGGTCGGCATTTTTCTCCATCATTTGTGATCCTCCTTCATCATATTTAACAGCTTTCACCATTCGAATGGTTTTTCGTCAGGCACCGTCATGTTTCATCATGTGAAGAACTGTCAGTGATCACAGCGTGGCGTCACGCTCGCGTGCGAAGCCTCCTCGAAATTCTGCGCGTATGTGGTGACCCTCTCGTTATTTTCGGCGCATCGTGACGCTGGAGTGTGGAGCGTCCTTGAAATTCTGGGCATAAGCGGCGACCTTCTCGGTGTTTCCGGTGCGTCGTGACGCTGGCGCGTGGAGCGTCCTCGAAATTCTGGGCGTAAGTGGCGACCCTATCGTTGTTTTCCGCGCATCGTGACGCTGGCGCGTGGAGCGTCCTCGAAATTCTGGGCGTAAGTGTCGA